CGTAGAGCTTCTTCTCCCAAGCCAAGAGCCGGTCTAAAGTAGAGCAAAGGCTCTTTGAACCGCCCGTTTCAGTTAGCGCAGCAGCGTCGAGCCGGTATTTCACCGCCAACGGCGGTTTTGAAGTCCAGCTTGAGCTCAAGTTACTGAACATGCTACTTGAATGATACACCGTCTCTGTAAAATGGAAAACAAATTAAAAAGAATCACAGAAAGAAAAAGTAAAGGTGATTAAAATTAATTCAATTTCAGCTGAATTTAAAAAAAAAATTCTCCACAACCGGAACTTACTTCTCAATTGCCTGAAGCTTTTATCAATCTGAGCTCTACTGATTTCAAGCATCTCCGAGACCTGATCCCCGGCGGCGGCAGCTTTATCGAAATTCTCTTTGATCGCATCGACAATCTCTTTCAAATCCCTATGCCTAACAACCATTTTCATATCCATCATAGCACCTGTTCTATAACTTCCCGCCGACGATCCCGCATCCTCCGACTTACTGTCCATTTTATTCCCCGCGATGGCCCCATACATCTGCTGCTGTGGCTGAATATTTACTGGATGAGTAATCTGATTATGAAGATGATTGAACTTGTCGGACTCCCCTCTCATCGACGAACCGAAATTGGAGCGATTCCCAAACTCGGATCTAGATGCCACGTCCTCGTCTTCCTCAGATGAACTCGTTGTAGTGTAACGATCGTGATCTCCCCATTCACTGCATTGCACTTCTTCTCTTTCGGTTTCCTCGTCGAAATTACTCTTGCCGTTAACGGAATTGATATTGTAACGGTTGTTCGGGTTATGTGGACGGAAGAAATCATACTCTGATTTTTCCGTTTCGGTTTCTTCCGATTCTTCAGGGTAGTTTGAATCCAAATGATGATGCCCATGGGGTAGTAGTTGTTGCTTTCGCTGTTGTTGTTTTTGGTCAAAGAATTCGGAGTCTGGTGGAGATGGAGGGTAAAAAATTTCCCAGTTCCAAACGGAAGAAGTCTGGGAAGGAGTGTTTGAGTAAGTGGAATTTGCTTGATACGCGGTTGGGAAAAAGTTGTTGTAGAAACCGGATTTCGAGCTTTGTGGAGAAGAACAGGGGCTCGATTCGGGCAAAATGTGAGGGAGTTTCGGGGGCACCTTATGTAGCCGACGACGATTGGGTGCGGGAGATGAGATGCTGGAAGGTGATAGTATGTGAGGGAGTTTGGAGCTAGCGATTGTTGGAGAAGAGGGGGAAGGAGATAAAGGAGGAGGGGGTGGAGGAGGGTGGAGAGAAGGGGACGGAGATGGAGGGACACGTGGAGGAATCGGTTTGGTCGTTGGCAGCGGAGACGGTGCGGCGGGATGGAGGAGGACGGCGGGGGTTTCGTCGGAGACGGAAAGGGGTTCGCCAGAAGCGAAGGTGGAGAGAGCAGAGCCAGCGGCGCGGAGAGAGCGGCAGTAATCGGCGTGAGTGGCTGCTAGGTGATGTCGAGCGTGAACGGCTTCCTTCATCAGGCGGCGCCTGTCTTTGCATCGCCTTACTGTGTCTTCGTTGTCTAGCTTCGACGCCGTACAGCCCATTCTAACACACTAATTGGTGGTGGCGCGTACGGTTAAATCTATTAAGCGGTAGTAATTGAGAAATGAAGCGCAAATGTAAGGTAAAGCTGCTAATGGAGTATTTGAACTGTTTCTCAGCCTGTGTCATCCGAGTTCAAAATTGTTATTATTATTTTTCACCTTTTTTGGTTAAATTACTGATGACTGTTTAGACTTTAAAGTGAATATTTAATTATTTAATAATATTTGTTAATTATTTGGTGTTGCAGTCTTGGAGAAGGTTGATATTTGTTTTTACGTTGTGCTTCAGACAAAGGCATCCAAGGATAAACATTAAATTAAACATTAAAATTTAAATCTTTGAGTCACATTAATGATAAAAAAATTATTATCTTTTTAAAACATTTAGACTTAATTAATTATATAATTATATTTATATAGTATATTATTAGCGATGAAAAGAAAATTTATAGTGTTTATAGTGATTACATACCATTGTAAAAGAACATACAGAAAGCATAAATCCAAAATCACATGCAAGCATATACTAGACATGTATACATTTGAAGAAAAAAGCAATGGGAGGTTCTTCTCAACTTTCCTTTCTCTCCATTTCATAGTCTCATTGGACCCAACCTCCCTCTTTCTTTCTTCCTTCTTTATTTTATTTGCTATTTTCTCTCATTTTTTTTAACATGAAATAACAAAAGTTGTAAGTATTTAATGGTGTGGAAGAATCCATTTTTAGCCGATGAAAGCTTAAAACTCAAAAGCTTGCCTTTTCCGATGCCAAGGATGAAGATGCTCCAAACTCAAGCATCTGATTCTAAAAAAGATTGCCACCCCCACACAAACAAATATTACTTAATTAATTGCATCAACCTTTTAACTTTTTAGACTGTTTTATTTTAAGAATATTTGATAAAATGTAAATATCTTTATATCTTAATGTTTAAATTTGATTTTAAAATGTAATTTAATTTTTTTTTTATCTAATTAGACATTTGAATTTGATTTCATGATTCAATTGTTAAAAAGCTCACGACATAGTAACAGCAACTATGCCGGGGAAAACTAATGGAAAAAATGAATATCAATTTGAACGAAATCGGGTATCAATTTGAACTAGTTAGTTTAGGTACTTAATTGGACAAAAAATTTAGGCATCAAAGTAAACTTTAAAATTAAACTAAAATATCAAACTAAATTTTAAAATTCAATTCAAATATCAATATATATATATATATATATCCTTTGATAAATACTCTGAGTTTACATATCAAAATATATATTTATTCTTTGATAAATTAATGGTGAAATTATTATTTTTCTCTTGCGCTGAACAGTTTTAGTCCACAATCGTATTCATAATTAATATTTAAATAAAAAATAATTAAAGCTGCTTTTAAAAGGTTATAATCTTAATATATTAAATAATTGTTCTTTATTTTTGGGCAAAAACCACATAATCTAGAATAATTATGAGTTGGTTCAAGTGCCGAATAAAATGAAGTTCAAACCCAGAAATTTAGTGTGATAATGATATTGAGGTTTGATTGTAATGATCGGAACTGCTAGAGAGGTGACCAAATGGGACAAAGGATCTCAAGCATATATTTCAAAATTCAGAAACATTTAGGACAAAGTACAACAGCTCTTCTGTAATCTGTAAACTGCAAACGAAGGGATCATCAGTCAAGCTGCAAAGAAATAAATAGTATTATTGCAAGCGTCCAAGAAAGAAGCCGAAGAGGTTCCAAAAGGTGGAGAGTAAACGGTAGGCCGCAATCCAAACAAAATGATGCAACTCTTCCCTTCCCTAAAGGCCAACAACTTGTCAGTCCTCTCGATCCATCCCTATCAAAGGCAACAACTTGTGGAAATATTTCTCCGTATATATATGAAGAGCAGACCTTGGTAGTAATTGGGGCTATTTCATAGGCTCGAGGATTATCAAGTCAGTGGAATTCGCGACAGCGCAAGCAACACAGATTACACAACCTTATCCATGTGAGGTGCTAGCCAGGGTTGCGAGAACTTAGACCTTAACTAGTCACCGATGAGGCCAATTTCCAAAGAATAAAGTTGATCTTAATTTCCAGGTATTCGTAAGGTGTTAATGCCGTGAATAAAGAATATTTCAAATATGGGAAGCTTCCAATGTATGAAACAAGGAATAGGAGGGAATTTTCTCTTTATATCTTATGACAAACCTTAAAGAAAAGGAAAGGAAGCAAATATTCTTCTTTTTCATTAAAGCAACAATGGAACGATCGCATATAAAAAAAGAGCTATGCATTATCTGATTCGGATTTAAAGCTTTCTACTTCTAAAAGTTACTAGAAAGAAAGTATTTTCTCCCAATAGAAAATTATATATTCAGTTTGAAGATAAACTTCGCTTTATGTTTTTTCTTTTCGTCATCAATGTCGATTGAGGTCAATGCCTCAGCCGTTTGATAACTGTTGAATAAAGTGTAAAATTTTCAAAGTTAAGGGACTAAAACAAAAATTATAGAAAAAATTAACGATAGAAAGAGTAGTTTACCCAAAAAAAATTAAATGTTTTATCAAATATATCATAATGGCTAATAGGGATATACATAAATTGAGTCTGATCTAACATTAATTTGCATACACTCGATATGATACGATATATAATTTAAAAGAGTCTTATTCAAATTTCAATATTTTAAGTTTAAACATGCACCCAATTTAACCTATATAATTACTTTTAGTAGGTAAAATAAATGCATGCAATCCTAATCTATTGAATTGTTTATCATGGAAGGTGAAGTTTAGACCATAACTGTAAATATTCCTAATCTAAAGAATTATTTATCATGGAATGTGAAGTTTAGATCATAACTGTAAATACAACGTAATATATTGTGAGGTGTGAGTTATTTAATAGCATTTGGTTAAAGGTTAATTAACTCTTGAATTGAATAGAGTTGATTTGAGTTTAAATTCGATTTGTATTCTTAATAAGTCAAAAATGAATTATTCAATATTCGATTTGAAAAACTCACGAACAACTTAAAAAAAATAATATATTTTTTTTAAATTTTAAATTAAATTATTAATATATATATATATATATTGTTATTCTCTTTTAAAATATAATATAAATATTTTATGTACTTAAGATTTGGAACTCAAGTTTGAGTTCCAATTAAGCTCTAAAAATATTACGAGTTAAAATTTTTTTTTAACTTGCATCGAACTTTAATTTTTTTTAGTAAAATTTTATAATTTTAAACTAATAAATTTTTTAATCGAGTCAAAATTAATTTATACTTTTTCGAAATTAATAATATTCGAACTCAACTTTTAAAGGCGTAGTCTAGGCACCTGTTAATGTGATGCTACGTTGCGACACAGTTCTTAAATCCAGAAAACATTAGAAACTTATACCTAAAATTTCCGTCGTTTAACATTCCGTCTCCAACGCCAAAACCCTAGCTTTTTATTTGTTTATTTATTCTCTCCTTTTCCTACTGCTTTTCTCTCGGTGATTTTTGTTTTCAAGAACATTCTTCAATTTTTTTAAGTTAAATTTTCTTTTTTCACCTCCTGGTTTGTGTTCGGGGGGTCGAGTTTTTAAGATGGATATCGAGCAAAAGCAAGCCGTGTTGATCGATCGCTTCGTTAAGCAAGCGTCGGCTCAGAAAGGGACGGCCCTTGGTTCCGTAATCGTCGAAGCAACGTCGCATCCTTCCCTCTTCGCATTCTCCGAGATTCTTGCCGTGCCCACCGTCACCGAGGTCAAATTCTATTCCATTATCAATTCTTTTTATTTTTCCCTTCTTTCTTTAATCTAAGAAATCAAACCGTCACCAATTATTTTCTTGCTAGACATGGCTTATTAACTGTTTTCTTTTTCGTGTCGGTAGTATTCTTTATTGCTTCACTTTTGGTTTTATGCTATAGTTTAGTTGTAATTTATATGTAACATATATGCCTTTGCAGCTGGAAGGAACTGAAAACTCGGTGTACCTCGAGGTGCTTCGCTTGTTTGCCCATGGCACATGGAGCGATTACAAGAGTAAGCTGGAAAACCTGTGTCTTATTGCTTGTGATAAGTGTATAATTTGTTCAATACAAAGATTTGAAATGTGTCATTTTCCTTATTGTGGTTGCTCATGGCTAAAGTGACAACTTTCCTTTAAATTGTTTGAGAACTGAAAAAAGAGAACACTTAAAATTATCCAATTATGTAAACTATTATTTACTAATCTTGCGAAAGAAAGCATTTACACTAATTTCTTCATCTAAATGGAAGTTTCCCAGACTAGTGATTGAACAGGCTTTTCATTGAATACCAGCTTTAATGACTTGCCATTTTCCATATTTTTTTCTCTTTTCCGCTCTTTCTCACGTCTACAGTCTTCCTTAAGACAATGTCCATCTGTGATGGTTATCATTACAGGCATTTTGGGTAGCAGAATGTCCTTTACTTGATTAAACCACTCAATAAATTTCTTTGTCTTGATTGTTCTTATAGTTATTCTTCACATCATAATGTGATCAAATCTTTCTGTTTAAATTATTTGATTAGACAATAGTGGCAGTCTTCCTCAACTGGTTCCTGATCAAGTTCTCAAGCTAAAGCAACTTACTGTCCTTACACTTGCCGAGACAAACAAGGTATTGTAGATGTTATAGTCATTTTGATATTCATCAAACATGCCACTTTGAGGTAGCTGTCTTCTTAACATGGTGGAACAAAGTCTTTAGAATTTCTTTAAAATTTTGAATGCCTTTCCGAATTGTTTTGTCCCACTTTCTAACTAAAATGGGTATATGTATAATTGGTGGGGAACCTTTGTCCGATGATTACACTTTTGGCTTTAAATGTTGGTTGCATCAAGTTCATTTACCATTTTAAACATCTTCACCAGGAACTCCCATACGATCAATTAATGCTGGAGTTAGATGTCACCAATGTCCGTGGACTTGAAGATTTTCTTATCAATGAGTGCATGTATGCGGTGGGTAGTCTCCCAGATTGATTCTCTATTCTTTTTCATCCTAGGATTTACTACATTACGACATGCTTTAGCTACTGGAACAGACTTGAAAGGCCTGAGGATGTGAGCTTTTGATTGTTAATGAATGATTTTTATGCAACATGTGGCCCGTGAAAGAATCATACAGCTATTTGTGCACTCGCACATGATTTTTTGGGAGGGTTAACATATAGAGTATATCTGTGTTGTTCCCAGGGAATGCCAAAGAAGCATCTTGATATTGTATCACACTTCATATGTTTTGCTTTACAAACACGTGCATAGAACTTTCTAAAGTTTCTTGTGTTGATTGTGCTCAATAACTTAGATCAAACTTTGCTTCCGCTAGGGTTTGGGAATGAAGAGGAAGAGGGGGGAGGGGACACCTGCCATCCCTACGGGGTGCTTTGTTGAATTTTAAGGGACACTGAGAGCTATTTGAACTTTCCTTTTCTGGTTACACCCAATACCTTAAATTACACCCTGCTTTTAGGAAGGTTTGGGTGTGACTACCAAAGGAAAGTTCAAATAGCACCACACTATGCTTTCAGGAAAGATTGGGAACAAGAGAGGGGGAGGGGGGAGCTTGCCTTTCCCATTGAGTGTTTTGTGAAATTTAAGGGAAGTTATTTGTACTGGAGGTGCATGTAAACTGAAAATGTTCTGATTTTTTTTTCCTTTTTGAACCTGTTTGTTAGGGTATAGTCAGAGGAAAGCTGGATCAACTGCGAAGATGTTTTGAGGTATGAGTTTACTGTTCTTACCTCTCAAGAATTTTCCTTTTCATTTATTTTTCTTCGCTTATTAAAATCAATAATGCTTGTTTTGGAAGATTCACTTTGCTGCTGGGAGGGATTTGAGGCCTGGACAACTTGGGAGTATGATACAAACACTGTCCAACTGGTAACATCTCTGGTTTTTAATAGTGCATGCTATTTAGTCCTCTTCCATGCTGCATTTATAGCTGCTACCGTGTGATCTTGTATTACCTTTTGGATTTGTTATAGCTAGTCCAAGTAGGCCTGACGTAATACAAAGTTAAATTTACTAAATCATTGCGCGTGTATTTGTACATATATTAATAAATTAGTATATGGATCGGAATTTTGAACCTAGGTTGGAAACATCAGACAACTTACTAATCTCAATTCAAGAGAAGATAAAATGGGCTGATGCTATGAGTGAGTTGGACAAAAAACATCGAAAGGAGGTCGAAGATAGGGTTGAAGAAGTAAAGAAGTCCATCACTGCCAAGGTCAGATGAATCCAAATTGCCTTTTGTATTGATTGCCCTTTTGCTGTAATTCATTATTGAATCATTAAAACGCATGAGAATGTAAATGTGGCTGAAAAGTGTTTTTATTAGTTTCTTTGTCCTGTCTTTTAGTTTTTAAACTAAATTTATACAAGCATTGAAGAAATTAAAACTAATTTTGATTTTGAACACACATTTCTAAGATATTGAAAAAATGTTTTGGAGGGGGGTGATGGTGGGAAAGAGTCCTTTAATTCTTGCAAAAATGCATATGCAGAAAATATTGGAGCTTAACTGGTTAAGATGCAAAAAAAAGGGCGGGGGTTTAACAGGATCTATATATAGCTTGCCATGACTTCACTCATTCAATATCAAAATATGTTGGTCGATGTGGCTTACTTACATTGTGGCAGAAGTTACACACTGTAAGCAGGCCGAAGTTGACATCCGAGGGCTTGAGGAGTTGTTCTCTGAACCTGGTGGAGTGATGGACTATGAAGACCGAAGCCGACCAAAGAGGTCAATTCTTTTTTCTAGTTTTTTAACTTCTTTTTATATCCTTAAATATGTTTGTTCTCTCTCTCTACTGAAGACTCAGTATGGTTTTCATGGTGTCTATTCATTTTCAGTCATCTGCAGCCTGATATTGATACATATTTATATACTATCTTGAATTCACTAGATATTTGGTTATTGTGACTTCTAAAAATTATGCTTATTAATTGGATTGAGAAAACATTGGATCAAAGTGCATTCTTTGAACCGCTGTGTTTCACTGATGGCTAATGTTGTGGATAATACAGGAGACGGCATCCAAGATAGAGAACATCAGCCAATTGGGCCGTTGTTTAGTTGAATAGCCAGATTTTTGTTCACAACATTTCAGCAACAGATGAAATCTGATTTTTGGGACAGTGATACTGCTGCCTGCTTTTGTGATTGTTGCTTTAAAATTTGAGAATCACACCAACTTGTGATGAACCCCTTGTTTATTCCATTTTGAGTTGGGAAGAACAGGACCTGATCAAGTGGTGAGGCTTAAACATTTGAAGCTATTAGATACCCAAGATTTACAATTCAAGTTATTGTACCTTTTTATGGTGCACTTCATGCATTGTACATCATGAAGAATCCTTATATCTCGCATATAATTCTTCAATACACCGAAAATGGCAAAGGCTTTTAAAGAGTGAAAATAAAATAAAAAGAAGAGTTTGATTGTATTATTCAAGAGATAGTGCGTTCATATTGGATATTTTTTAAAACTGTATCACTTGGTTATTGTTGTGTTCACACTGAATCTTTCATATTTCCACGAATTAGATCAAGTTTAGTGATTTAATCAAATCTAATGTACTCTAAAGAGCCTTTTAAACATTTATGTGTTTCGATGTAGTTTCCTTGGGAAACCTTTTTCACGTTGTAATAAAATTCTCAATTAATAATTTATAAATACGAAAGTTGTTGAAAGGGAACAAAATTGTTCATCAAAATTAGCAACCAAATTTAGGCGATTATTTACGCTTTCCATTGACGGATAATGGTCTGTTTAAAATTCAGTTGTCATTGACTGATATATGTTGAGTTCTAGCTCACTTCCCAACTCAGGTTCAAATGCCGACTTAAACTCGCTTATCCTCCGTTTCGACTCGGGAGTTCTAGACGAACAGGGCACCGGAGACCTTCGCTTGTTATTACCCAATCTCACAGGCTCCACCTGAGCTGAGCCAACAAGGTGTGGAAAATTCAGCTTGGCTTTTGCGCCGCGCATCTCAAAAGCCACTTTATCGTAAGCCATTGCAGCATCTTCGGGCGTCTCGTAAGTACCGAGCCAAATTCTGGCACCATTTCTTTTGGGATCCCTTATCTCCGCCGCGTATGTCCCCCATGGCCTTCTCCTTACGCCCTTATAACGCACCTTCCTCGGCGGCGTGTGAATCGCCGTCGCAGCGTCAGAAGTCTCTTCGCGGCTGGGAACTGAAACATCAACAGCGGCAGCCTCCGCCGCATCAAATAATTGATCAAAGGTTATCCATCGATCAACATTTATAGCAACAGCATCAGTATCGGAACAATCCATCTGATCCGTTGGAATCGGAACTTGAACGTTTGCTTCATTTTCCGGAAATGTTGCTAGACATTGAACTCCAGAATCATCATCTTCCAAAAGATTCCGACGAATCGAGGCCAAGAAGCCGGGATCAAATCCTGAGGTAGTTTCACAGTGCATATCTGCCTAATCTGTAGCTGAGGATTTAAACTTGAATTGGATGGCTTGGCTTCCTTCAGTTCCAGTTTCTTAATATATACGATTAGACCTCGTATTAAACTATTATTATAATTCATGGTTTTCTTTATAGGAAGTTTCGATTGAACAACATTCTCATCACGTTTTTGAAGTGCTTCATCATTTATTAATTTTATTTTACTTTTGTTATGTATTTATAATAATTAAACAAATACGCACATGCTAGGGTTTAATTATTGTTGTTGTCATCATCATTATCTGGTGTAGTCCGTTGGAATATTCGGAAATGTACTTAAGACAAGTTCATATATTAATTAATTAATTAAGAGTCATCAACTATTGAATTGATTTTTTTATTGATTCCCATAATTTTTTATATAAAAAAATAAACTATACAAATGGTCTTTTGACATTTGTATTTTGTTTATTAAAGTTTTAAAATTTATAATATAATTATTGTACTTTTAATTCACTTACTTTGATTACTGCAATAAACTATCGTTTAAAAATATAGGCATAACACGTTTATGTTTTTTATTTTATTTTTCTTAAAAAAGTCTTAAAATTTTAAATTGACAACCACCATAAATCACTTGCACCGTCACTATCCAACGTTTTTTCTATCATTATTACTACTAAACACAACACTCCCCATACTCCAAAGTTTCACCATCTTTTCACAAGCGTCGAACATTTCATCTCTATCATTTCATCCAAATCTCAAACACAATTGAAATTTCCTTGCCATCAACGACCAAGTCAACCAAAACTTGAGCTATCATCGTCAATACATTCTTTCACTGTCCACAACCATCAATAACATCTAACAATAATCAACATAAAAAACAAGTAAAACGATAAAGAAAGAATCTTGCTCTCGACGAGTTTTTAATTAACGAGACGATCTTCAATTAATCTCAACGATGAAAAGACTATGTTTGACCAAAATATTAACAAAGTTTCTAAATTGATGGGGTTACTAGAAAAAAGTCATCATTGCGAGGGCTATTTTTCAAAAGGATAAATTCATAGTGATCGTTGCAAGGGCTATTTTTTAAAAGGATGAATCCATTTTTTAGAATTAAATTAAGTTTTACAAAGCAAAAACTTTAACCCCTTATTGCGGTACATCAGACAAACTCTAATGTAAGTGTCCAGCCCAATCCTTCAACTACTTACCAAAGAAGATGTAATGAAGGTTTATATTTCATTTTGGAAGTCTAATATTGAGTTCATAGAGATGAAAACTAATAATGTTAACAATGTATTAATTATTCCTTTTTTTTAATGGTTGATAATGTATTAAAACCATGGAGACAATCTTTACAAGTTACTATCGGTCGTCCTCCGTTTCGATTTGGGAGTTCTATCATCCGACATGAATGACGAAGAGGAAGGTGACTGAGCCGATGACCAAGATGAACAAGGCTCCGGTGACCGCCGCTTGTTATTAGTCACTCTCATCGGCTCCACCTGATCCGAATCAACAAGGTGAGGGAAATTCAGCTTGGCTTTTGCGCGGCGCATTTGAAAAGCCGCTTTATCGTAAGCCATTGCAGCATCTTCGGGCGTCTCGTACGTACCAAGCCAGATTCTCGAACCACTCCGTATGGGATCCCTTATCTCCGCCGCGTATGTCCCCCATGGCCTTCTCCTCACACCCTTATAATGCACCTTCTTCGGCTTTCAGTCGCCACCTCAGAAGTCATTTCAGAGCTAGGAAATGAAACATCAACAGCGGCAGCCTCCGCTGCATCAAATAACTGATCAAAAGTCATCCATTGATAAACACCAACAGCGATCGCATCAGCTTTGGAACAACCCATCAGATCCGATGGAAGTGTAACCGGATATTGGGTTTCAAAATCATCATCTTCCAAAAGAAACCGACGAATCGAGTCCAAGTGACCGACTTCAAATTCTGAAGCAGTTTCGCAGTAAATATTTGCTTTCTTGCTGGAACCCGAAAAGGAAATCAAGCTGTGACTGAGACTGGGAGATGTGGATGGCTTGATTTAGTTCCTGTTTCGTTATATATATACTTCGAGAGTTTGTATTAAAATATTATTATAATGAATCCTGGTTTTCCTTGAAGGAAGTTTCTCAGTATTGAGATTGAAGAACATTTTCATCACGTTTTAGAAGTGTTTAAATAAATAAACAAATATACACATGTTATGTTTTAATTATTTGTATAATCATCATCGTATGGGTTATGAAGTTTGAATCTATAATACGTGGAGTTGCTAATGTACTTAGATTGGTTCTTTATTAATCTATTCATTAATGTCATTAACTACTGAACTGACTTATCTAATACATCCTTATTAAAAAAAACTTATTTAATTGATTATGAGCCCAAATAATATGGATAAATTATAATTTTCATTACTTAACTTTACCCTTATTCTTATTTTGGTCATTGGAATTTAAAACTATTTAATTTAATAACCAATCTTTCAAATTATTCATGTTTTGGTCATTTTATCATCGTTAACTAATTAACTACATTAGTAAATGATAGACAATATCAGAACAGCTTCATTTTGAAAAGTTAAATTTATATATAAAAAAACAACACCGTTTTAAATCTACATAAAACTCAATTTCCCTTCTTTTTTTTCTTTCTTCTTCCTTTTCGTTTTATCTATTTACTCAAATTTCAGTCATCACTCGTCGTGATCGACAATCACATCAACCAATTGCCCCAAAAAATCTCACCAAAAACTCATGAATACAAATATAATATATGTTTAATAAAAAAATACCTTAAACTTTAAGAATTTAGTATTGAATGTTTCTATTTCAAAATAAAATGTTTAAATATTCAAATGACATTTTAAAGAAGTTTGATGAAAATATCATTAAACCTATTAAAAATATGTTTTTTTAATGAAAAACGAGTGTTTTAACCAATTAATAATTTACTTACTAGTTACTACTGTAATTTTCTTACTAGTATTTCCTTTGGGTCAATTGAATTGACTAGATCATTCAAAACTGGTGTTCCGCAGCTAAGGCTGCATCCGCCTCACTGTTACTTTCACCGCTCTTCCTCTTCGTCGGCATTACCGAGGAGGCTGCGGAAGGGTCTGAGGAGCGGCGCCTTGGGCCGACTCTAATCGGCTCCCGACAACAATCAGTTCCAATCAAATGAGGAAAATTCAGTTTCGCCTTAGCCCCATGCATTTCGAACGCCGCTTTATCATAAGCCAACGCAGCATCTTCGGGCGTCTCGTAAGTCCCCAGCCAAATCCTCCTACCTTTCTGCCTACTGTCTCTAATCTCCGCCGCATATTTTCCCCACGGCCTTCTTCTTACCCCTTTATAAAGCATCCCCCTCGGCCACACCGCCGCCTCCGCCTTAAAAGAGTTTCCAACAGCTCCCGGCGCCGTTTTTAAATCAACCTCGTTGGGTGCACGTGCAGTTGACCCGGAGTTCGCCGCCTCACGTAAAGCAGTGTAAATCAACATGTCCTCGGAATCATTCATCTTTAATGGAAGATCACCCCAACTTTCATTCAAAAACACACTACTGAAACTCGAACTTCGGCTATAGCAACGTTCAAGAACAACATCTGTTGTCTTTGGATAGTATTGAAGAGATTCAAAGATGTTGAACTCTGAATCCGAGATATTCTCTGTTGGTAATGCTCAATCCCACATAGTGTTGGAAACACTATTGGGAATGGTATTTAAGGCTTGACATTCCACTTCCTTGTTGAGTGATAGAGAACAAGGGGGGCTCTCGCGCACCGCCGTTGCCGTCCGTCCGTCTCGTCTCGGCTCGGCTCGGCTCGGCACGGCACGGCACGGCACGGCTCGGCTCGGCTCGGCTCGTGGTCGTGGTCGTGGTCGTGGTCGAGGTCGAGGTCGTGGTCGTGGTCGTGGTCGTGGTAATATGTGTCTTCGACACGTCCGCGCGGATACATGATATAATTAAATCAGAAACGTTAAGATGTACCTGGACTGATTTACAGCTTTGTACAGAGGAGACAAGCTGTTAATATCAGGAGTTACAGGAGTTATTTGATTTAATTCCAGGGGTTACATGATATAATTTCGGGAGTTATAACAGCTGAATAATGATACAATGAACCTGGACTATTTCTGAGTCAGGTTCATCTAGTCATTTCAGCTGTTACAAATAAGAGGTTTAATCCTGAAATTTTATGGACGACTTTAACCCTATTTCTAGCCTATAAATAGAGAGCTATATTCAGCTTCTCAACTCACTCCAAAACATTCACAATTCACTTACCAAAGTGTTTTCTAAAGTTCTCTCTGTGAGTTCTCTCTGAGTGCTTTCCGATCAGAAGTGCAATACCACCAGCAGTCCACTCCGGTTTCGGGTGTACGTAATTCGGAGCGACCGTGTTAACCTCGGGGGACGGTCCGCCTACTGCAGCGATTACACACATCGAGGCGAATTCGTTTCTAAGGCAGTGGTTCTTACCACGACACGGTTTACGAATCTGTTCTTCTTAATTACTGTTTATATTTTCAGTCAGTGCTAACGGTGTAGTTTTGCAGTTCATATATCCAACAATTTAGAAACGAATTCCCATAAACTGCAATCATGTCGACACCTTTGAGCAAACTCATTCCCGATCTTTCCAAGCTCGATGCACTTGATGGAAAGAACTATAGAAGGTGGTCCCAAAGAATTCTTATATTCTTCGAGCAACTTGATCTTGATTACGTGTTGCTCAAGCCACCACCTACCATGCCGCCAACCCCAGCTGTTGGTAATGATGCTGATGCGGTCCTCAATGATGATGCCTTAGCAACTGCCGCCGCCGCTCTCGCTACCTACGAGAAATTCGAGAAGGATAATAAGACGGTACGAGGACATCTGCTCAGCCACATGTCAAATAAACTATTTGATATGTTCCTTAGAGAAAAGAGTGCCAAGGCAATATGGGACACTCTCGACAAGAAGTATGGTGCGGATGATGCGGGGATCAAGAAGTACGTTGTCGGCGAATGGCTCAAATTCCAGATGACAGACGACAAGCCAATAATGGATCAAGTCCATGACTATGAGAACTTAGTCGCTGACATCATCGCTGAAGGGATGCAAATGTGTGAGGTGCTGCAAGCCAATGTACTCATTGAGAAACTGCCCAAGTCCTGGTCCGATTACCGTAACTCTCTTAAGCATAAGAAGAGAGACATTTCGCTTGAAGAACTTGTGGGCCATATGAAGATTGAAGAAGCCAACCGTTTAAAAGATAAGCTTACTAATTCTATGAGTAATTTATCTTTTAGAGCTAACTTGGTTGAGTCCAAATTTAAGAAGATCATGAAACGTGGGAATCAAGACAAAAAGACGAAACCACAGAAGGCTACCAACTTCAAGAAGTCAGGAAAGGCCAAACCGGAAGGAAAGACGTTCAAGTGTTATGTCTGCGGTTTACCTGGCCACAAGGCTTACCAATGCCAACACCGCTCAGACCGCCAGAATGACAACAAGCCACAGATGCACGTTGTAGAAGAAGATGATGAGATCATTGCTGCGGTGGTCTCAGAAGTTAATCTGGTGGAGAACAGTTCAGAATGGGTAGTTGACACTGGCGCTTCGAAGCATTTCTGCGCAAGGAAGGAGTTTTTCACTGAGTTCGAGGATGGAAACACTGGTGAACGTGTGTACATGGGGAACTCTAGCAGCTCTGAAGTGCTAGGCAAAGGCAAGGTTTTACTCAAGCTGACTTCTGGTAAAACTCTGGCTTTAAATAATGTTCTGTATGTACCTGCCTTGCGTAGAAATTTGATAAGTGGTGGGCTTCTGAATAAGGCAGGCATTAAGTTAGTTTTTGAGGCAGATAAACTTGTACTTTCCCGAAATGGTGATTATGTGGGGAAAGGGTTTTTAAGCAATGGTTTATTTGTCATAGAAACTCAATTTAATGAAAATAAAGCTACCACTTCTGCTTATATTGTTGAATCCATTGATATGTGGCATGCTAGATTAGGACACGTGAATATTCATGCTTTAAAGAAATTAATGAATATGAATGTTCTGCCTAAACTAGACACAACTAGCTTTAACAAATGTGAGATTTGTGTAGAAGCTAAGCATACTAAACCTCACTTTAAGACTGTTTCTAATAGAAAGACTGAACTGTTAGAACTCATTCATACTGATCTAGCAGATTTTAGAAACATTGAAAGTAAAGGAGGAAAACACTACTACATAACTTTTGTAGATGATTATTCAAGATATACAAAAGTTTATCTCCTAAGAACTAAAGATGAAGCTGAAAACTTCTTTCTTATTTATAAGGCAGAAGTTGAAAATCAGTTAGATAGGAGAATCAAACGAGTTAGATCTGATAGAGGTGGTGAATATGGATCTAATTTCTTAAAAGATATTTGTGAAAAGAATGGCATAATTCATGAAACTTCAGCCCCCTATTTTCCTCAACAGAATGGTATAGCCGAAAGGAAAAATAGAACTTTAAAAGAGATGATGAATTCTTTACTAATAAGTTCTGGGTTATCTGATAACATGTGGGGGGAGGCCATTCTATCGGCAACTCATATCTTGAACCGAGTTCCTCATAAGAAATTAGATTCTACCCCATATGAATTGTGGAAAGGATACGCTCCTAATTTACAATACCTGAAAGTGTGGGGGTGTCTGGCTAAAGTGGGCTTGCCAGACTTTAAGAAGTCCACCATCGGACCTAAAACCGTTGATGCAGTGTTTATAGGGTATGCTACGAATAGTGCTGCATACAGATTCATGCTTTTACAAGATTATTCTATTTGTGAATCAAGAGATGCTGTTTTCTTTGAAAATACTTTTCCTTTAAAGGAACCGAGAATAAATATTGAAACACAAATAGAATATATTCCATCAACTTCTTCTAGTAAACCTGCTAGGTCTTCTGAACAAATTGATTTTGAGCCTAGAAGAAGTAAAAGGCAAAGAGTTGAAACCTCTTTTGGACCAGACTTTATTACTTCCTTTATTTCTGAGATAAATGATTTAGACTTCATTTCAGATCCTATAGCTCAAATTTTTCTATTAGATGAGGATCCTAAAACTTTTGAAGAAGCTATAAGATCTATCGATGCTAGTTTTTGGAAAAGCGCTGTTAATGATGAACTAGAATCGATAATGTCTAATCATACTTGGGAATTAGTTGACTTGCCTAAGGGATTCAAACCAATCTCCAACAAATGGGTCTTCCGGAAGAAACTAAGGCCAGATGGTTCGATTCAGCGATACAAGGCAAGGTTAGTCGTCAAAGGGTTCACTCAAAGGTTTGGTTTAGACTACTTTGATACATACTCTCCCGTTACAAAAATCTCAACGATTCGTGCATTATTTGCACTAGCCTCTATTCATAAGTTGCAGGTACATCAAATGGATGTTAAGACTGCTTTCTTGAATGGGGATCTAGATGAGGAGATTTACATGGAGCAGCCACTAGGTTTTGAGGCACCTGGTATGGAAGGCAAAGTTTGTAGACTCAAAAAGTCACTCTATGGACTTAAGCAGGCTCCTAAACAGTGGTATGAGAAATTTCATAAAACTATTCTTAGTTTTGGTTTTGTTGTGAATGGTTCGGATGCTTGTGTGTATTCGAAGATGTTTGAAACTGAATGTGTTATCATAAGTCTTTATGTTGACGACATGTTGATTTTCAGTTCTAACATTGAGTCCATTAACAAAGTTAAAATTTCTTGTCCACTAAGTTTGAGATGACAGATTTGGGAGAAGTAGATGTAATCTTAGGAGTCAAAATTACCAAAACTGAGAAGGGATTTTCTTTATGTCAAGCACATTATATAGAGAAAGTGCTAAAGAAATTTGACAGTTTTGATGTCGTCCCTGTTCGAACTCCTTATGACCCTAGCATACATCTAGTTAAGAATAAAGGAAGTAGTGTTTCCCAAACTGAATATGCTAAATTAATCGGAAGTTTAATGTTCTTAATGAACTATACTCGGCCTGATATTGCTTATGCTGTGAGTAGACTAAGTAGATATACTCATAATCCGAGTGGTGAGCACTGGATTGCGCTTAAACGCTTACTGAAGTATCTTAAGGGTACTGTGAATTGGAAACTTGAGTTTGTTGGCTTTCCTGCGGTATTGGAAGGATATTGTGATGCCAACTGGGTTTCTGATAATGATGAGGTAAGCTCTACGAGCGGGTATGTTTTTACTTTGGGTGGAGCAGCGATCTCGTGGAAATCATCAAAGCAGACTTGTATTGCTCGTTCTACCATGGAGTCAGAGTTTATAGCTCTTGACCTAGCTGGGCAAGAAGCCGAGTGGCTCAGAAGCTTGTTAGCAGATATTCCGTTGTGGGGAAGACCGACTCCTCCAGTTTCATTGTTGTGTGATTCACAAGCTGCGATATGTGTGGCTAAGAACCAAGCTTACAATGGTAAGAAAAGACACATTCGCATAAGACATGAATCAGTTAGACACTTGATAAAGAATGGAGTGCTCTCTTTAGAGTATGTGAAGTCGGAAAGGAACCTAGCAGATCCACTTACCAAAGGGTTAAGTCGGAAGCTGGTCCTAGATTCGTCGAGGGGGATGGGTCTAAAGCCCATTGGTTGAGGAATTCATGGTGGATACCAAACTTAGTTATCTAAGTTCCATGTGGTCAAACGAAACC